AGATAGACAATCATGTTGTCTGCAAATAGAGACAATTTGATTTCCTCCGTTCCTATTTGAATACCCTTTATTTGTTTTTCTTGCCTGATTGCTCTGGCTAGAACTTCCAATACTATATTGAATAGGAGTGGTGAGAGAGGGCATCCTTGTCTATTTACAGATTTCAAAGGGAATGCTTCCAGTTTTTGCCCATTCAGTATGATATTGACTGTCGGTTTGTCATAAATAGCTTTTATTATTTTGAGATACATTCAGTCAATACCTAGTTTATTGAGGGTTTTTAGCATAAAGGGCTGTTGAATTTTGTCGAAGGCCTTCTCTGCATCAATTGAGATAAAAGTGGTTTTTGTCTTTTGTTCTGTTTATGTGGTGAATTACGTTTATGGACTTGCATATGTTGAACCAGCCTTGCATCCCTGGGATGAATCCTACTTGATCATGGTGGATAAGCTTTTTGATGTGCTGTTGCAATCGGCTTGCCAGTATTTTATTGAAGATTTTTGCATCTATGTTCATCATGGATATTGGCCTGAAGTTTTCTTTTCTTGTTGAGTCTCTGCCGGGTTTTGGAATCAGGATGATGTTGGTCTCGTAAAATGATTTGGGAAGGATTCCCTTTTTTTTTATTATTTGGAATAGTTTCAGAAGGAATGGTACCAGCTCCTCTTTGTATGTCTGGTAGAATTCGGCTGTGAACCTGTCTGGACCTGGGCTTTTTTTGGATGCTAGGCTCTGAATTGCTGCCTCAAATTCAGACCTTGTTATTGGTCTATTCAGGGTTTCAACTTCTTCCTGGTTTAGGCTTGGGAGGAGGCAAGTGTCCAGGAATTTATCTATTTCTTCCAGGTTTACTAGTTTATGTGCATAGAGTTGTTTGTAATAATCTCTGATGATGGTTTGAATTTCTGTGGAATCTGTGGTGATATCCCCTTTATCATTTTTTATTGCATCAATTTGGTTATTCTCTCTTTTCTTTTTTATTTATCTGGCTAGTGGTCTGTCTATTTTGTTGGTCTTTTCAAAAAACCAGCTCCTGGATTTATTGATTTTTTTGAAGGGTTTTTTGTGTCTCTATCTCCTGCAGTTCTGCTGTGATCTTAGTTATTTCCTGTCTTCTGCTAGGTTTTGAGTTTTTTTGATCTTGCTCCTCTAGCTTTTTCAATTTTGACGATAGGGTGTCAATTTTAGATCTCTCCTTTCTTCTCATGTGGGCACTCATTGCTATATATTTTCCTCTAGAGACTGCTTTAAATGTGTCCCAGAGGTTCTGGTATATTGTGTCTTCATTCTCATTGGTTTCGAAGAACGTCTTTATTTCTGCCTTCATTTCATTGTTGATCCTGTCAACATTCAAGAGCAAGTTGTTCAGTTTCCATGAAGCTGTGCGGTTCTGAGTTAGTTTCTGAGTTCTGAGTTCTAACTTGACTGCACTGTGGTCTGAGAGACTCTTTGTTATGATTTCTGTTCTTCTGCATTTGCTGAGGAATGATTTGCTTCCAATTATGTGTTCAATTTTAGAGTAGGTCTGATGTGGTGCTGAGAAGAATGTATATTCTGTGGATTTGGAGTGGAAAGTTCTGTAAATGTCTGTTAGGTTTGTTTGTTCCAGGTCTGAGTTCAAGTCCTGGATATCCTTGTTAATTTTCTGTCTGGTTGATCTGTCTAATATTGACAATGGGGTGTTAAACTCTCCCACTATTATTGTGTGGGAGTCTTAATTCTCTTTGTAAGTCATTAAGAACTTGCCTTATGTACCTGGGTGCTCCTGTATTGGGTGCATATATATTTAGGATCATTAGCTCTTCTTGTTGCATTGATGCTTTTGCCATTATGTAGTGTCCTTCTTTGTCTCTTTTGATCTTTGTTGCTTTAAAGTCTATTTTATCAGAGATGAGAATTGCAACTCCTGCTTTTTTTATGCTCTCCATTTGCTTGGTAAATCTTCCTCCATCCCTTTACGTTGAGCCTTTGTGTATCCTTGCGTGTGAGATGGGTGTCCTGGAAACAGCACAGCGATGGGTTTTTGCTTTTTATCCAATTTGCCAGTCTGTGTCTTTTGATTGGGGCATTTAGTCCATTTACGTTTAGGGTTAATATTGTTATATGTGAATTTGATACTGCCATTTTGATGCTATCTGGCTGTTTTGCCCATTAGTTGTTATAGATTCTTCATTGTGTTGATGCTTTTTACCATTTGGTTTATTTTTGGAGTGGCTGGTACTGGTTGTTCCTTTCTATGTGTAGAGCCTCTTTGAGGAGCTCATGTAAAGCAGGCCTGGTGGTGATGAAATCTCTGAGTACTTGCTTGTTTGCAAAGGATTTTATTTTTCCTTCACTTATGAAGCTTAGTTTGGCTGGATATGTAATTCTGGGTTGAAAGTTCTTTTCTTTAAGGATGTTGAATATTGGCCCCCACTCTCTTCTGGCTTCTAGGGTTTCTGCTGAGAGAACTGCTGTGAGTCTGATAGGCTTCCCTTTGTGGGTAATCCACCTTTCTCTCTGGCTGCCCTTAGCATTTTCTACTTTATTTCAACCCTGGTGAATCTGACGATTATGTGCCTTGGGGTTACTCTTTGTGAGGAATATCTTGTGGTGTTCTCTGTATTTCCTGGACTTGAATATTTGCCTGCCTTGCTAGGTTGGAGAAGTTTTCCTGGATAATATCCTGGTGAGTATTTTCCAGCTTGGATTCATTCTCTTCATCACATTCAGGTACACCTATCAAACGTAGATTAGGTCTTTTCACATAATCCCACATTTCTTGGAGACTTTGTTCATTCCTTTTTACCCTTTTTTCTCTAATCATACCTTCTCGTTTTATTTCATTGAGTTGATCTTCGACCTCTGATACCTTTCTTCTGCTTTGTCAGTTCGGCTGTTGAAACTTGTGCATACTTCATGAAGTTCTCGTGTTGTGTTTTTCAGCTCCATCAATTCACTTATATTCCTCTCTAAGTTGTCCATTCTCGTTAGCATTTCGTCAAATCTTTTTTCAAGGTTCTTAATTTCTTTGCATTGGGTTAAAACATGTTCTTTTAGCTCACGGTAATAAGTTCCTTATTACCCACTTTCTGAAGTCTGATTCTGTCATTCCATCACACTCATTCTCCATCCAGCCTTGTTCCCTTGCTGGTGAGGAGTTGTGATCCCTTTTAGGAGGAGAGGTGTTCTGGTTTTGGGTATTTTCATCCTTTTTGCGCAGGTTTCTTCCACCTTTGTGGATTTATCCACCTGTCATCTTTGTAGTTGCTGACTTTCAGTTTGGGTCTCTGAGTGGACGTACAATTTGTTGATAATGAAGTTATTTCTGTTTCTTAGTTTTCCTTCTTACAGTCTGGTCCCCCTGTTGTCTGGCTGCTGAGGTCCACTCCAGGCTCTCCTTGCCTGGGGATTACCTGCAGCAGCTGCAGAACAGTAATGGTTGCTACCAGTTTCTTTTTGTGCTATTTTTGTCCCAGAAGGATACCTGCTGAATGTCAGTCTGATCTCTCCTTTATGAGTTGACTCTTTGGATATACGGGGGTCAGGGAGCTGCTTGAGGAGACAGTCTGTCCTTTACGTGAGCTCAAGTGCTGAGTTATGAGCTCCGTTTTTCATTCAGGGCTGCTGGGCAGGTACGTTTAGGTCTGCTGCAGCAGAACTCATAAACACCATTTTTTTTTCTGTCCCAGGTAATTAGGGTTCTATGAGTTTCCGTTGCGCTGCTGCCTTTTTTTCAGGGCTGCTCTGCGCAGGAAGGAGGCAGCCTAGTCACTGTCTGCCTTCAGAGGCTTTACTTAGCTGCTGTGGGCTCTGCCCAGCTGTCGTGTGAACTCCCCTGCAGTCCTGTTTATATGGGTGTAGTTAGAACTGTCTGAGCATTGGTGGCCCGCCTCTGTAATGGGGACTCTTGCTGTAATGGCAGTTTGCCTTGGCATTGGCGGGTTGCCTCGGCAACGGTGGGCTGCTTCAGCAATGGCGTACCACCTCCGTAGTGCCTCGGCAACGGCGGAGGTCCCTCTCCCACAGACCTAGACCGTCCCAGGTTTAGCTGTGCTTGCTGTGAAACTCTCAATCCAAAGAGTTTCTGATTGCTGTTATTTTGTGGGCGTGGGACCAGCCGAGCCTGATCACCTGGCTCCCTGCCTCAGAGCATTTTGATTTTTAGTTGAACGGTCGACTCTCTCCCAGGTGTTCCAGTCGCCTGTTGAAAAGGCGCCAGGGTCTTTGTGATTTCCCCTGTGGCGACTCACTGCGCCGGCTTAAACAGTGGCATGGGGCTTTTTTTTTGCCCGGGAATCTCCTGTCCTGGCTCCCTGTTTCAGACCCCTTTTTAGACAGATGAATGGGTGACTGCACCTTCCCGGGGCTCCAGTCGCCTGCTAAAAGGGCACCCGGACCAGTGTATTTTGTATGGAGAACTGTTGTGCCCAGGTGCTGCAAAGCAGCCACACGGGCCAAAACAGCCGCGCTGGTGACCCTTGGGGCTCCTCCGCTTCTGAATCTCCTGGTCTGTGGGCAATAAAAATCTGTCTGGAAATGCAGCGTTCATTCACCCTCTGCGCTTTCACTGGGAGCTGCAATCCTGAGCTGTTCCTAAACGGCTATCTTGGATTCGGATGATTTTTTTTTTTTTAAACTTGTCATTTTTGTAGTAGTTATAGAGGAATCCACAGCTTGAAAAGAGCTGGACTCAAAATGGAAAACATCAACCTGAATATTGATAGTTCTTGAGTGGAGTAGACAGGGGTTCCAGTTTTAGTGGCTCTAGAGGTTAAGACCGTGATGACTAGGAAGAGAGGTCTAAGAGATGAAATGTGTTCTCTTTCTGGGTGCATGATGGAGGCTAGTTTTAAGAGCAAGAATTTTGTAGCGCAATGCACCCCTCCCATCTCTCCACCCGGGAGATTTAAGGGTTTATGTTTGAATTTCAAGGGTGCGGGAAGAAACGTAAGAGTCAGTCACTCCGGTGGAAATTTAAAGGGACTCCTTTCATTGGCCAGAGGAACTTGGGAAGGTGGGAATTTCTCCCAGGATAAATTCCCCTGCTCCTTCACCCACACTGGATTTCCAGCTCTCTGGAATTCCCTCCCAACATTGGTGGGAGCTCCCTTTCCTCTCTGGGATTTCCCCTCTGAAAACCCCTTCCACAATCTTCACGGAAGTCTTTCTCTTCTTCTCTTTTCTCTACCTAAATAAAATCACCTTTCTGCAACACTTCTTGGGTGGATATTTACTTTTACGAGCGTACAGCACACCTGCAGTGGTCCCATCACTTATTTTATTTATTTATTTTTTTGAGACAGAGTCTTGCTCTGTCGCCAGGCTCCAGGCTGGAGTGCAGTGGCAAGATCTCAGCTCATTGCAACCTCCGCTTCCCAGGTTCAAGCAGTTCTCCTGCCTCAGCCTCCCGAGTAGCAGGGCCACCATGCCCAGCTAATTTTTGTATTTTTAGTAGAGACGGGGTTTTACCATGTTAGCCAGGATGGTCTTGATCTCTAGAGCTCATGATCCACCCGCCTTGGCCTCCAAAAGTGCTGAGATTACAGGCGTGAGCCACCGTGACCGGCCCCATCGCTTATTCTTTAAGAGATTGGAGACCAAGAACCCACACCATTCTCTCTGGGGAGCTGTGTCTCACCAGCACCCAAGAAAAAACCCAACCGGTTACATAAGGAGATACACATCTTTGTTTTTTCCACTCATCAACATTTGACCTAAATAAAAAAGGAGATATTTCTTTTTCAAGGTATGTTCTTTATAAAAATAAAATTATTCTAAATATTTACTATTATTATTTACTGGTACTAGTTTTGTACTCTTAGAGGTTATACTTAGATTTATGTGGTCTCATTTGTGGAGTATCATTAGTATCATCAACTTTTTTTTTTTTCACATTATTTGTTTTCAAAGTTTCTTAAAAGTTGAATTTGACTTCATGTTTCTTCCCGAATCAGTGGTAACTGAAGAAATAATCTTCCCTTAGAATCTGTGATCTCCATTAGAATAGGCTTCATCTGATGCTTTTGTATAATTGAGGTAGGGGTGAAACAGGGAATACCAACTTAGCTTTATTTTTAATGAATTGCTTTTATTGCAAGAGCCAAGACTAAAGGAGAATATTGTAAGTCACCTTTAGAAATGCTTGCTAATAGTTTATGCTGATAAGATAAAATGGGGTGACTTGTTAGGTGATATACTCCTTGTTTCTAAAAAGAGCTAATGACCATTATCTAATTCAAGGATGTTATAAAAGATATTCCTACATTGAATGAGATGTTGTACTAATGACCTTTAAAGATGATTTTCAACTTACAACTCTGTGTGATTCCTGTATTACAGTAACAGCAGAGCTGTTCATCCTTGTAGCTTAAATAGAGTTTGGTGTCTGCTACTGTAGTTTCCAGACAAACACTTTTCTGTGTTTGGTCTTGTTTAAAATAGATTTTTTTCTGAATCTGTTTTTTTCCCCCTTTTCTAATTAAAATTGATCTGCGTTAAGAAAGATCATGCGAAATAGTTTTGGTATTTCGGAAGCCTGTAATGAAACTTACTGATAGAGCTACACAAATTACCGGAATGATGGAATTGCTTAACCTGTTGTTATAACAACCCTTTTCTGATATGCTATTATATGTCTGATTTGTTTTAAGAAAATCTGAGCAGTTATATGTAACATGTTTAACAAAGTCAGGATTGGAGATTCATGAAGAGGAAGAAACTGGGAACTGATGGGGAACATCAGATTACAGAATATCTACTTCAGACTGAAAAGGGGTAGTGTTTCAGGGCAGCATTTAAACTTTGTATTTTTCTAGAAAGAGCCATAGCAACATCATTGACAGTATTCTTAAAATTGACATGATTATCAATATATAAAGCGAATAAGTCATTAATGATTTTTATCATGTGTGATTAAGGAAAATAGAGTAAGCTCCATGTGTGTGTGCATGTGTGCATGCATGTGTTCTAAAATTAAAAAAAAAGCCACCAAAATGAAATTATTTAATGTTAGATTATTTAAAAAAATGTATTTAGAACTTTGAAAAGATTTATGTCTGTCTACCTCTTTGATCAAACAGCCTTATTCCCCTTGTAGCTTTGGATAAAAGTATTTATCCAGAGATACTTTTATTGTTGACATAAAGAAAAACTCTTCTAAAATATTTTGAATGGTAGTATAATAAATTTCAGTGTTGGCAGTGCTAGGATGTAGAACATCGTACACCGATAGAATGTGGGTCTGAATTTGCCTTTGAGGATATTGACTATTTTTGCCCAATGACTTTAAATTGCAAAAAAATAATTGTGGATTTTGCTTTCAGCTTTAGGATTCTTCAACATTGGCATCCGTACATGGTGGTTTTTTTTTTTGTCATTCATTTGCATAGTTTTTCATACTGTTTTTGACATTAAATACCTGATATATTGGTTTCCTTCCTTCTCTTTTTCTTTGTATTGATTGGATACAGTCATTTCTGCAAAATTATTGGGTGGATTATTATTTTTTTCTTATTATTTAATCCAACTTAATCATTTTAATAAAGGGAAGCCAAGTACCCTGTACATTTGCATTTTTGGTTTTGGGTTTCATACAGGAAGATACAAAATTTTGGGTTTCATGCAGGAAGATATAAAAATTTTTTATTAGCTGTATTTGAATAAAGATTTTCTTTAAGTGTTACATATGCTAACAGACTTTAGAGTACAACAATCACTGCCAATGTTGATGGACAGAATATATTGTAGAATTTCTACAGTGTATATAAACAGCAGTCCAGAACAAATCTCCCTTTCTTCTAAATTGAAAACAGAGAAGTGACTGCCCGATTAAATTTGTCAGTAGTGACCCAGTATATAATCTTTGAATCAAGAATGTTGAAAATATGGCCGGGTGCAGTGACTCACGCCTGTAATCCCAACACTTTGAGAGACTGAGGCATGGTGGATCACCTGAGGTCAAGTGTTCAAGAACAGCCTGGCCAAATGGTGGAACTCTGTCTCTATTAAAAATACAAAAATTAGCTGGGTGTGGTGTTGCACACCTGTAATCCCAGCTCTCAGGAGGCTGAGGCAGAGAATTGCCTGAACTCAGGAGGCAGAGGTTGTAGTGAGCCAAAATCACACCATAGCACTCCAGTAGTCTGGGCAACAGAGCAAAACTCTGTCTCAAAATAAAAATAAATTTTCAGTCTCATTCCAGATACAAAATTATAGCTACTCAACCATATCTCCTTGAGGGAATGAAAGGAGAATCTTAAAATTTTGTAAGCATTTTCTCCTACATAATTATCTTAGGAATCTTTACCAAGCCTTATATAATTATATTTCATAATAGTTATGTTTATTTATCTTATTCTAATTGAAGATGTTTTTAACAAAGACATTCAGATAATGATGTATTGAATGGAGTATCTGTCATTTACAGTAGGAAGTAGAACAATTCTAAGATGATATTGAAAGCATATAAACTTCAGGACTGTGACAGATAAAGAATATGAATTCCACATTTTTTTCTGTTCAGGTTTACCTGAAAGCTATGTGGAATCTAAAAACTTAAATTAATTATTGCTAAAACTTGGTTTAATCATCATTAATTCCAGTTTGTAGTACAGAATATAAAAATTGCTCCTATATTCATAGAAGTTTCATTACTTTTTCTTCAGATATTTATTTTATGTTATTTTGAGAAATTTTATTTATAAGGATTATCAAAAATGAACAATCTATTCTCATTGTACAGCTTTAAATATTGTAAAGAATCTGTGTCATAGCCATTCATAACTGTGTTGTGGAATTTCTTCATTATGTTGGAGACACTTCTAGAATAGTTTAGAATTGAAGAGCTGTGTCTCTTCAACTGTCTGCATTTGGAAATTAAATTCTGTACTTAACATAATTTTCTTCTGCGGTATGTTGTGACAGTAGATTTCTACTTGCATCCTATTTAAAGAGCCTATGTTTTTGTTTGTTGATTTGAGACAGAATCTTGTACTGTCGCCTAGGCTATAGTGCAGGGGCACAATATCGGCTCACTGCAGTCTCTGCCTTCTGGGTTCAAGCAATTCTCCTGCCTCAGCCTACCGAGTAGCTGGGACTACAGATGTGCACCACCATGCCCAGCTAATTTTTTTGTATTTTTAGTAGAGACAGGGTTTCAACATGTTGGCCAGGATGGTCTCGATTTCCTGAACTTGTGATCCGCCTGCCTCGGCCTCCCAAAGTGCTGGGATTACGGGCATAAGCCACTGTACCCAGCCCGTGTTTTTTTTTTTTTTTTTTTTTTTTAATCTTTTAAAAATATTCAGATATTTCTGAAATAATCTTTTGGTACTGTTGTTAAGAGACAGGTCTTACTTGGTCATCCAGGCCGGAGTACAGTGGCTTAACCATAGCTCACTGGAACCTTGACCTCCTGGGTTCAAGCAGTCCACCTAGCTCAGCCTCCCAAGCAGCTAGGATTATAACACACACCACCACAACTAGCTAATTGTTAAATTTTTGGTAGAAACAGCATCTCATTATATTGCCCAGGTTGATATTGAACTCCTGGCCTCATGTGTTCCTTCTGCCTCAGCTTCTCAAAGTGTTGGGATTAGAGGCATGAGTCACTATGCCCAGCCTGAAATATTCTTAAATGTTTAAATTTTAGTTTTTTGCCTTTTTCCTTAACCTGTTACAGCTTTATTTGAAAAATGTACTTGTAATATTTATCTCAGGACATAATTGCCAATGTCTAAACTGCCCCAGTTAGGATTCAGTATTTCTAAAAATGCAGCAGTTTTTGTATGTGTGAATTATGATTATACAGTATCTTAGTGTTCTGTAAGCCCATTTTGTCCCATCTTCAAAGTTTTGTAAAAGTTTTAATTCTCCTGTGGAAAATCTTAGTTGCTTTGGTTTAGGCACAGATTTCTTAGGACACAAAAATATGAACCATAAAAGTAAATATTTATAACTCAGACTTCATCAAAATTAAAATATTTGCTTAAAGACACTTAAAGAAAATGAAAAGACAAGCTACTAACAGGGAGAAAATATGTGCAAAGCAAATATGAAACAAAGGACTCATTTAGAGTATTTAGAACTAACGATATTAAGTACTGGCCAGGAGGGAGAGCAGTAGGAACTCTGTATATTGCTGATGGAAATGCAAGCTGTTACAGCCACTTTGGAAAACAGTTTCACAGTTTCTTACAAGGTTAAGGA